GAGACAGAAATAAAGGCAGGCGGCTTTGCACGGCCACCGCATACAATGAGCCCTCACAGCGCACCTGGGGAAAACCAAACGGCGATGGCACAGCAAGGTACAGACCAAAACGGGGGTAAGCCCCAGGGCCTGAATGCCAAAGGGTTTTCCTTGACTTCAACTGTATCAGGCTGTTCCTAATTTCCTTAAGTTGAATGAAGAGCTATATATTTGACAAAAAGATCAACTAAGACTTTAAAGACTTCTTTACTACTATTTAATTAGGTCTTTCATTATGTTTTATTGGGTTTTATGTATTTTAAGGGTTTTTATGAGGAAAAAATAATCACACTGAGGAAAATCTGGTTTTCAGAAGATAAATGTGCAGATTTTGGACATTATTTTTCAGATGCACCCAAGTATTCACTTGGAAGACAGAGACAGAAATGCAGCGATTTCAGAGCAGGTATAATCTCACAGATTGAATTTTGCACCATTTAAATGGATGTTACCTCTGCTTTGCTGACACAAATCCTCATTATTTATTTTTCGTTTCAAGAGTAGCTAAGGACATCTTAACATCTTGGCTCCCCTCCTCAAAACCTGTCCTCACTAGTCATTTGTTTACACAGCAACCAGAACATCTCGGGCCTGTGCCAAACTGAAGATCAGCTCCTCCTCCTTTTCCTCTGGCCAGGTAACCCCCCGTACAGTCCCTGAAAACAGTACAGACCGCCTCCAGGTCTCGTTAACTGTGGAAGTTAGGGTTTTAACTGTTCAAGGCAGCATACAGAAATGTTTGCGAAATTCATTAAAGGAATTTTTGCACAACCTCTTGATGAAAAAATATCTCCCTCTCCTATGTCAAGGCTAATTTTTATCCTTTCCCCAGCTGTGTTTGTAAGTACCAGGCTACACACAAACAAGTATCTTTACTGTTCCTTGTGCGCCAGGGTTTTAAATAACTGTATATAGTAAACTTCAGCGTAACTACTCAACTCCCATAGACTGGCTTCATCCAGCAACATCATTCTTCCCAGGTAAGAGAGCTATAAAGCCACTAGATTCAATATATTATTTTACAATTCTAGAGAGCAAATGACCATCTCCTGCTGCTATCCAGCAACTTTCTCCTTCCATTTATCACAGTTTGAAGCATAGCCATAATCCAGAATACTCATAAATAGCTGATATTGTATTGCTGTTACAGACCTACTAAGTATTCACGCTAAATTCACCAGACAAGCACATATGTTAAAACGAAGTGTACTTAAAGAGTTAAGCTTTTATATCATAGAATCATTTAGGCTGGAAAGGACCTTTAAGATCATTGAGTCCAACCATAAACCTACCATGGCCAAGCCCACCACTAAACCATGTCCCTAAGCACCACATCTACACACCTGTTAAATACCTCCAGGGATGGGGACTCCACCACTTCCCTGGGCAGCCTGTGCCAGTGCTTGACAACCCCTGTGGTGAAGAAATTCTTCCTAATATCCAATCTAAACCTCCCCTGGTGCAACCTGAGGCCATTTCCCCTTGTCCTATCACTTGTTACTTGGGAGAGGAGACTGACCCCCACCTGGCTACACCCTCCTTTCAGGTTGTTGTCTCCCTTCAGCCTCCTCTTCTCCAGACCAAACACCCCCAGCTCCCTCAGCCGCTCCCCATCAGACTTGTGCTCCAGACCCTTCCCCACCTTTGTTGCCCTTCTCTGGACACGCTCCAGCACCTCAAGGTCTCGTGGTGAGAGGCCCAGAACTGAACACGGGATTCGAGGTGCAGCCTCACCGGTGCTGAGTACAGGGGAAGAATGTGGAATGAGACAGATTCATATGGAATGAGAGATTCAGTACATAATTCAGTATCAAGATTTATTTAGGACAATTCATGGTCATGCTCCATTTGAATACAAAGCACCAAAATTTAGGTAACTGAACATTATCCAAATATAATCCAGTTGAGACTGCTGCACACAGATATATCCATTATTCTAAGTGATAGCATAGCCCATGTCCGTCCATGTTCATTAACTACAGTGGACAAACACAAGGTGCTGTGGCTGAGGCAAACTTACTGGAGAAGGCATAGCAAAAGTGCTTCAGAATGCGTATCCCTTGTTGTAGCAGTCTCTTCAGAATAAAGTACTATAACCCAAGGTATCAAGCACTTGATACGCACAAGTCAATAATACCCCAAGACAATTTCCAAATCAATTTAGCATTTCCAGTTACTTTCCCACAATCCCTCCAATTTAGTATTTTCTAAAAATCATCTAGAGACAAGATTGTCTCAGCCCAACATTCAACAGAGAAGTAAAGCACTATGGCTGTGACCACACTAGGAACTTTTCTCATTGCTGAAAAGGCAATAGCAATGAAAATTATTAGTTGCCAAAATCGTATCAGGAAACTAAATAATGCTGTAGTTTCACAAAGTGTGGCTAGAAACATGTATTGTCAACAATGACAGACTTCCCAACTGTAGATTTAAAAGCCGGAATCAAATCTTAGGCAAGCATTTCACTATATATGAAATTGCAACAAGGTTTTCTGATACATCTTAAAATTTCAGTGAAAGAAGAAAGAGGGGGAAAGACTTATTACAGTTAAGGGAAAAAAAACCCACAACTTTTTCTTTTAAACTGGCACTTCAAAGAAAAGGGCTTAAAAAACTTAAAATCAGTTTTACTCCAGAAAGTCTTATAAAACAAAAATGACAAAAAAAAGACAAGTATCTGTCACTAAGTCACTAGCTATAATACATACATTCCACCTAGCCACTAAAAGCTGCAGTTAGATGCCTTCCTCGTCTTTAAAAAGAATACTGTGGCAGACAAATCATCTACTAGATTTTTACACTGCTACTATCTCAATAGGTTAAAACACTTGAGTAAATGGAAGAAATAGTGGATTCAACTGAAATAGTTTATTTTTATGCACCGGGCCACCAATTTCCCTTGCAGTGGGAACACCGCAGAGGATACTGTAGACAGATTTGTTTCACCTACTGGCCCCATTCCTAGGGTCTCCCACCAGCACGGGAAGCGAGGCTCCTCAGTGCAACAGGCAAGCATCACAGCAAAAGAGAACACGTACACAGCAGTGCCACCTACGCAAGAGGAGTACTTTTCGAGGTGTACAAACAGTTCAAGGGTATCCTTTCAGAATAGCAAGGCAGCTCTTGTGTAGTTTAGTGAAGATTCCATCAGAAAAACAAACAACTTTTTCGTACCATTTCATCCAGTATACACACATTAAAAAAAAAGCATACTATACAAAGAACTGAAGCAATATAATTTAAACATGCCATCAAGCTATAAACCATATATACATAGAAACATATGCCTATACAAACAGAACAAGACCACTTTATTACAAGATAATTCTGTTGAAGTTTTTTTGAGGAAATCATGACAGAGAAAGAAAATCAGACCAAAGGAGTTGGATGTTGCTTCTAAAAGTAATCTCTTCAGAAATTTCATGCAACACCACCATCTTTCTTTAGCAGACATTTATTACAGTTTCAGTTACACATAAGCTTCCCACGATTTCTGGACTCCCTTCCTGTACAGAGGTAGATTTCCGTAGATGTTCTGATATTGCACCACACAAGTATAATGTTTTTATTACAAGAAGGAACACCTTACAAAGGCTGATTTATGGGCATAGTCTCATTGTGTGCACTCAGGTAGCACAGTAATCAAATTCACTTGCACGTGAAAGAAAATATCCCTCAAAGTGAAATGTTTTGTTATTTAGATGGAGGTCCAATTGAAAGCTGCAATTCTATTAAAAGAACTCTCTCTTGTTATCAGGGTAAGGTATTTAAGTCTCTCTCTCTCCTTTAGAGCCTCTTATTTAGCCAATGCAAGAACTTGTATTGACTTGATGCCTTTATCCCATCCACTGTGTTCAAGTTAAATGCAGATTTCAAATACACACAGGTTTTTGCAGTATTAGATGTTACTCCTTCAAGTGGTTGTGATATTAAGAAATTTATAAGAATATTCATTCAAACTGCCTGAAATTATTAAAAAAGCCTATTCACACTTTCAGACTGGAAAAGGAAAGCTAAAACTTTGCTAGCTTGCAACAGCCATTAATCGTGAACAAATTTGATAGTACTAGGAAAATGTGAAGTTTGGCAGTAGATTCTTTTTTTTTTTTTTTAATCCATCACATTCTTGAATAATCTTCTGACAACTCATGAAGTTGCAGAAAAGCTTGTATGCAAATACCACTTTGTCTGTTAAATGAAACCTCTACAGCATACTCCAAAAAAAAAAAAGTGCACCAAAATTCATGATGCCAATGTATAGTAACTTTGATGAGCTCGCAAGCATTGCTAAGAATTTTTGTCAGAGGCACTGCATGAAGTTATTTTTACAGAAGTCTGTCAACATGGAGATAAATGAAAGAACAATCTGGTATTGCGTGTACCGAAATATGAGAGAATAAGCAAAACTAGCAAAGTTGTTGTATGCATGTGCTCACATGACAGTGCTTATGCATGTTTCAGCCTCAAAGAAGCCAGACAAAGTAAGGAGCACCACTCTTCCTAAACCTTACAAGGACAGAAAAGTTCTCTTTTTGTACCAACCAACCTATCTGGGACTATTTTTAAATAAGGATTGTATTAGAACCATTTAGCATTAGTTTCCCAAGTTCAGTTTATATGAGGCATCCTGTTTCTTAAAAAATACGACGTCAGTAAGAAATGGTGGCTAGTTTGGAACAGAATAGTTTTTGTTAAAATATGGATAGAAGGCATACATAAATTCATTACGCTTCTCCATATGCACACTTGTCCCTGTCAAGGTTTTTTTGTTAACAAGGCAAGTAAATCCCAAGTTACTTCACAACAACTGCAAGAATATTGAAATTCACGATGACTGTTTTCCCATGATGAAAGGGACTGTGTACCTAGGAGTATGACTCAAATAATCTTGCCTTCTTGGGGGAGCTCGTGTTGTGAAGGGAACCCTTCACTTAAGGGAGTAACTTCATCAGGAATTACACTCCCTGCCCCTGGCAGAAAGTGCTTAGGTACCTTGCAAGATCACATTTTTTAATAAAGAAATCCATTACACACAGGATATTACACACAGTAAAAGTTAAATGACAATGGCAGGAACCAGGGCTTTCGGAGACTTCTCTTTCTGTTTTTAAAAAGCAACAGTTCTTCACAAATAATAATCCACAATTAGGAAGCATCTCATTCATACACTCGGCTAGTGCATAGCATCTGCGATTGCATAGAATGTTTCCAGTGCTGAATCTGTAACTAGCATAAACAAATCTTTTGCAAGTTTGATTTATTACCATTTGATATCCAAATTGCCTGCTGTTTGATTTACTGCACTGTATTTGGTGTGCAAAGTTTCCTGGACCTTCTTAGAGTCCATGCCTTCCAGCCAGTCCTGGTACATCTTTTGTACGTGCATGTTGGCTTCTGGAAGTCTAACAGGTATTGCAGCATACACTTCTTCCATCTGGTTAAGCAGTGCTTTATCTGGTTTTCCATCTTCAGTTTGTGCCTGACCTTTTCCATTTAGGCACCCTTGGGGGGGGAAAAAAAGAGAAAACTGCAAAGGTGATGGAGATTTGAAATGAAGAGAAAGTTTACGTTAACTTGAAATTCTTTCTTCATACTTGTCTAATGAAAAAAAAGTTGTCTCTCTACATAAACTACCCCCCCTCCGTTAGAATTTGCATTTACCTAAAGTGACTCCAATATCAACATCATCTTAATGTAAATGAGGTTTCCATATCAACAATCTTTCTCTGTCTTCTCCATGGTTTTATGATCCTAATTATGTTCCTAGTCTTTTCTTGCCCTTGACAACCACCATTTCAGAATATTTCCTCTGAGGTTTGAAATAATCGTAAGAGCCATGCTGTCACTTATTTATAGGTCAGAAGAGAGCAAATAACATTATGGTTAATTTTAGAAAACCCAATCAATTTCTGAGCCAACCCTGTAATTGGTGTTCTGGACCATTCATTAAATAGTAAGCATTTAAGATTATTAAGAGAATTAAGAGGGAATGAAATTAAGTGCCTGCCTGTAACACAACTTTCTTTTGAGATTCAAGATACGTGTGTGGAACAACTGCAGATCCACAATTACTCTTACCTCCTGGGCAGGCAAGAACTTCTACAAAATGGTATAAAAACTTTCCTTTTTTCAACTTCAGAACCATGTTTTGGATATTTCTAAAGCCATAAGCTGCTGCAAAACGCAGGACTGTCTCACCATCCTTTTCAAGGGTAACTTCTTGAAAGTCCTTGTTCCTATAAAGATACATAGAGAACATTTTGAATCCCTGCATTACCAAAGGGATGACCCAAATGTGGCAGTTTGTATTCAGATGCTCTAATGAGAACAGAACAAGTATAACAGTGAGATTACAGTGAATTCTTCCAGTTTCTAAACTGAGTTAAGCAGAAGATGGGGTTGAGTTTTCAGAATAGAATTATACTTAATTTTTAAGGGCGGGTAAGTTATTAATAAAATTAAAGCTAGCAGGAGTTACTTTACAGCAACAAATGTACAGGTTTAGAACATGTAACTGCCTGTCAGCAAAAGGGCCAGGTGAGCAATAACTACATTAGGCTTCACTGTAGCACCACCTAAACCAGAGGAGGCTTAGACTGGACATTAGAAAGCATTTATTTACCAAGAGGGTGGTCAAATCCTGGAACATGCTTCCTAGAGAGGTGGTTAATGCCCCAAACCTGTCAGTGTTTAAGAGGCATTTGGACAATGCCCTTAACAACATGCTTTCACTTTTGCTCAGCCCTGAAGTGGTCAGGCAGTTAGACTAGACAATGGCTGTAGGTCCCTTCCGACTGAAAATAGTCTATTCTGTTCTAACTAGCCCATCCTACCTAACAAGGATACAAAACTCTAACTTACTTTAATGCTTTGTAGGTGATTTCCTTGACATCCATGCCAAAAAGCTCCTTTGCAGCATGTTTAAAAATGTGCTCCAGGTAACCATCAGATCTCTTCCCATCATGCCTTACTACATCTCCCTCCTTTATTTCATCAAACCTTAGAAAGCAACAAAAAGAAAGATCAACTCCAAAATTTCATTCCTTCACTTCAATAAAGCAGTATGTTTCTCCCCTCCTCTGTCTCCCCCACCAAAAAGAGTTTTATAGCAGTGATTAAGAACATATTATTAACATTTTTATTTATTACAGCTTAAAAAAAATTGCAACTATTCAGGACAGCAGTAAGATGATAGAAAAAAGTAAAATAAAAAATATAAAAGGATGCAGCGTTTTCCCATGTTCAGAAACCTCGAGCAACAGTAATTTGTAAGAATGCACATTCAGCACAGACTAAAGACTTGGGTAACAGCCATTCACTGCTCAGGAAACATTTTGGGGAAAAAAAAAAAAAATCAATCATTTTTAGGCTGTGAGAATATAAAAAGTACTTCAGAAGTTACAAGCCTTTGCTCACAAAGAACTCCCCTGCTCCAGGAGCTGTTTGTGACAGTCTATAACACTGTGCCACTAAAATAACACCAAATCAGTACAGTTGCAACCAGGCTAGAACACTGTACCTTTACGGTAAGTGCCACACTATAGTTCAGGAAAGAAAATTAGTGAGATCCTATCCAACAGGCAGAGCATTCACCTGGAGGTTCACTGATGAGCACAAGTGGCTGCAGCATAAACTGTACTGGGGTGCGTGCTGGTGATCGCCAAAGCCTGCAGCTCTACAGGCTTATGGTCCTGTCTGGCAAAGGAGAAATCACTAGGGGTGTGTGCTAATGCTACTTTCAGGACGAGATATTAGTCTTCAGGTTAGCAAATGGACAGACTACATCCTTTGCTCTTACATGTAAAAGCCTCTCTAGATACAGTCTAGTTACCTTCTTCCCAGAACAGCCAGACATGACCTTTCCTGGCCTATACTGCTCGCTCTTGCCTGAGCAGCCATCTAAGCACAGCGTTCAACCACAAAACCAAAGTGAAAATTACCACAGCAAACACCTTGCTAGCAAAAAAAAGCTGAAGTTTTAATGACAGAGAAATATTTTAATCACTAAAGAGCTGAAGTTTACAAATTTAGTATGTCTGTCTGCTCTATGCCATGGCATGGCATGTACTTAAGAACTACTGCAACTTTTTTTTTTTAATAACCCTGGCTGATTTTGTTTCATGATCTCTCTCCTAATTTTAGCCAATTGCTATTTGTTAGCATTCTCTAGCTACAAAGTGAGTTGAGAACGCAAACATGAGTTAACTTTGTTCATATTACTTTTTTAACACAAAGCACTACCACAAATTGCTGCTGTGCTGGGACTTGTTTTAGGAGGAGGAGTTTCAAGTGACACTGATTTCTGTGCAAAATCTACTTTTAAGACCCCAGAAGAGCAAAAATTTATGCCATCAAGTCTCACAGCTTCAACATAAACTGATCCAACAAAACAGGAATATTCTGAGTAAGTGCTGGTTCTATTATTGGACAGGGTGATTTAGAAATAAATGATTATCTATGTAATTATGTCTGCAAGAACTTTATTTATATAATTCTCATTCTATATAGCAATCTCTGGTAGAAGTAATCATAGGAGATACACTACAAACACAGCTCTGAAAATGTTACCACTGTACCACTTAAATTTCTCCAGGCTAAACAAGGTCCAAGCAGGATACTAACTGAAAGTGAAAAGCATTTTAAATTAATTCCAGAGCTTTCTGTTTTGTGCAAGAAAGCATGTTTATTGCTCCACTATGACCACTTTGGAAAGATACCAAGTAACATCTGTCACACTTGAACAAAGATCAGTGAGCAGTGAGGCCAGCCTTTGTAACTAAGCCCGAGAATTAAAGCAGCCCCATGCTGCTTTCTGAGCCAGTCATACAGTAAACAAAATCTCTTCAATGCTTTGTGCAATTTTCATCTAAAGCATGTTTCAATTTTATCTAATTTTGAAAAACTAACTGCTGTCTTCAGTTTAAAAAAAAATTAATTACCATTTCCTGAAAGGGTGCTGCTGCTATCAATTCTACATGAATGTATTAGGGGAAGTGGAAATTTACTGTCAAGATACTGCTCTGGATGAGAGGAAAGCAGAGAACAGATGGTCAAGCCCATGACTGCATCGCAGCATCTTTGTGTGAGGCCAGACAGTTGGAGAGGGGCAGATGAGACTTTTCAGCTTTACAGAAGCTCAAGCATAGGTGAGCTCGGAACAGGGTCAACACCCTCAGACAGTCACACTTACTAGCAAGTCGTGACGTTGATATAGTCAAATCTAATACTACTACATTAAAAAATAAATAAGGAGCTACACAAATCTTCAAAAATCATAAAGGAGTCACTAGATAGGGGTCATTACCTCAAATTACCTGCTTTGTATTTAGATAGTATATACAGGTTTGTATTATCTGTTTAGTATGACTTTTATATATAGCAATGAACATCTAAGAGAATACTTGGGGGTTTTTTGGCCACTGTATAAAGTATGAGGCTTCAGTATACCCAGGCTTTGATGAAGGCTTTTTTTCTTTAAAAAGAAAAAACATTCTTTTGAGAAGTTTTACATTTATGTTGAATATCTCAAAGGTGTTGTCATTTGTCATCAAAATAAGGAAGCAATCCACAACAAAACTACTTACAAACTATCTACAGCTACTTCAGTCACATCTTTCATAGACACATTTTTCTGTTCCATTATTTGGACAATTTCACCTGTAGGAAAACATATGACATTTTACTTTCAACACAAAGCAAAATGCACATGCTGTGCCTCTGTTTAAGAGATCAATATCCCAAGACCTATATGTGCTTACAGTCTTGTTCTCCAATTCTTACTAGAGTCAGTTCCCTGACACTTCCAGCCCTGAAGAAAGGGGCCTTCAGCTTGCTCCAAACTTTGCATAACGCTATCCCTAGCCTTTCTGCCCGGTAAAGCTTGGAAGACATTTCTACACTGCAGGGGAAAAAGGAGGATACGTAGTTTGGATGTTAAGCCTAAAGACAAGAGCCACACCAAAAAGCCACTGGTGTCATGCATTTGGAATGTTATGAATAATCCCGGTGGAGATTAAATAATGACCATAGAGAAGGAAGACAATTATTTTAAATATGGATTCACATAACTTTCACCTTCTCAAGAGGCTGACAAAAAGAAGTACCTGAATCTTGTTTTCAGATGAATACCTACTTAGAAGGAAAATATTTTTCGCTTTGCCTTCCCTATACAATACCTATACTACCAGCAGCACAACAACATGTACTTATCTTTAAAGCAGAAAAGAGCCAACCTTACAACTAAAGCAGACTTGAAAAAATCAAAGTCTGGCATAAAGACTATTCTAACAATGGCGATTCACTTATATCTTTATAAACTGTAAGTTTAAAGAAGATTTAACCTGATGTCAGAACACAATCAACTTCTTGTGAATTATACAAGGCAGTGTAGAAATCTTCCCGCAAGGCTTCCAATTTTTTGTCATAACAAGGCGCCACAATTACATGGTAAATTTTATCAGGAGATAAGTTCTGTGGAACATAGAAGAGAGCACATGTGAACTCCACGAAGAGCAAAAGACAGCTTGAAGGATGGCAAGGACAAAAATGGCATCATAAACTCCGTGCAGGTAATACTAGTACTCAATCCCTAGCAATTAAATTTCAAGACTGCCACAGACAGATGAAGTGATTTGCCATGAGTCACAAAGCATCAGCAAGAAACATCCAAAGTCAGTCTTCTGGCTGAAACTTTCACTTATTCCTTCAGACTACATTTTCTGCAGCTTTTGATTGCCTTAGAAAGTAAATCCAACTCAGAACTTCAGAATTCTATTTTGTAGCTGTCACTCATTCACCTTCATCCACAGGAAGTCCATCAGTATTTATCTATGTGGAGATAGCAATACTTTCATATATAATGTGGATGCAGTTAAATTTAAGTATGATAGCTAAAAAGAACACCAACTTTTTCAACATACAAAACTGAGACGATAAGAAGGTTAGTTTCTAGGATACAATGCTTTTATTGATCCCAGATAACAGGGCAATTTCTATATTACTCTCCTCCACTCCTGTTTTGGCTGTGCTATAGAACTACACAGGCAGCATTTAACAAGAATCTCTTTAGCTACCCTGGATTTAATTTTATCCATAAATACCTAAATCCATGTTGCACTGGGAGCGCAAGGATTGCTGCTAGCTCACGCTGCACCATATGAGGTTCTTTGTGCATTCTTCTTATCATAAGCACTTATATAGAAGCAAAGCACCATTTATCCTTCAAGTAAAGGACAAACAATTCAGGAAGATGCTTTATAACTTTATAATACACCAAGATCTATATTTCAATATTAAAACCTACTAACCCATCTTTTTAGAAGAGTATAATTGTAAAAATAAATCAGAATTCCTTACCTGCTGCCTGGCAAAGTAGCCCTTCACCAGGGAGCCCATGATCTGCTGTGGAGACTTTGCAGTGCAAATGTGAGAGGTCACAAGATTGGTAAGTACCCTCTCAGCATACCGGATCCAACCTAGAATGACAGAAAAATCACAGTTAGATAGCGAAGCGGCACATAAGCATGGCAAAGTGGCAGCAGTTATAGAATAGCTCTTAAAAATGAAGACACCTTCACAGTAGGTAGGACATTTCTGTGTAGGCTGGAAGCCCCACCTTGGGAACTGTAAGAAACCTCAAGGCTCTGTTAATAATGCTTTACAACTGGCTATCAATAATTCACTGTGTCGACCTAGAAGCCACTGTGAAATTCATGACCTATTACACCTTCTCTAATGCATAGATTTAACAAAGCAGAAAGAACAGGACCCCAGCTAACAAAGAATAAGTTGACTTTCTAGACCTCAGCCCTTGGATCACCAGATACTACAACAAATGTACTCTGTTCAGCTGCTTAACTGTAACCTTCTGTTTCCTGAGATTTAATAACCATGCACCCAGCTTGCCCCCTCTAAAACAGAAGAGTCACATGAAAGCATTATCACAAGATGCATGTGGATTAAGCCGGGAAAAAACGGTTTCTGTTTTACTATTGTTAGAGTAGTCACACCTTCTTTAGAAACCCACATACACTCAACCACACACAGGGTAATCAACTGAAATCTCTCTCTATTCAACATTCTGTCTTAGTTACTCAAAAGTCCCCCTCCTTTTCACCAGACTCCTTCAGCATTTCAGCTATGACAAGCTACTTACATTCACACCACCCTCAATATCCAGAGCAGTTCCTTTATTCCCCACCTTCCAGAACAGGAACCGACAAATTAGCAGATTTATAGATTTAGGGTGTGCAAATCTTTCTTAGACACTGTAACTCTTACTGAAAAGAACAGCCCAGAATTATTCACAGCAAGGATTCAGAACTTCTTGCTTCACCTACATGAACCGAGAAGCAGATACCTAAACTGTGCAGAAAGTGTTAGGCCCAGCCTTCTACAGAAGTGTGTTGCTTTTTGGTGCTAAGGAATAGGGAAAAATATCACACTTCGGTCTTTTATCTTCAAACGGATTAGTTTACATAAGAGAAAAATTGCTGTGAAGTACATGCTGCCCAGGAAAGGTAAAACCTGTAGGTTAATTCTTAAGCTTGAAATTAGCATGTATGTATAAACACCTGGTAATGTTTAAGTCAGAACACTGCCACAAAAGCCAACAACAGCACAAAACTGGAACCCAAGTGGTGTTCAGATGGTTTGACTCTCTATGGCAGAGAAGTTGTCTTCCCAGCGTAATAAAATTTTACTGATGAAAATGAGAAAGTAGAAGTATTAAGGAAACAGGAGGATCCTCCAGCTGTTTGAATATTCCTAATTCTTGTTAAAGTACAGACTTCAAGATTAACAGACACTAGTCTCCATGGAAGATCTCACAGACATATATCATCTTCAACAAGCATCCATTTCTCTTCTAGACGAAGCTAAGCCCTACAGATTTATATGTCAGGACTGTGCTGAATTCCTACTCTGAATAGGAAGTTTGCTTAATGTCCAACTTCACCTGGGACTGTAAGTCCAAGATATTACCTGCAACAAAGGACTTAATTTCTTGGTGCTTGGTACAAAGGCTGTATTAGAATATTCTGCATAATACGTATATCCTATTTCTTAAATGGCTTTAGTCTCAAGTGCTGTCAAAACAGAACAGAAACTGCTTCAAAAAAAATAAGGAGAATTTTAAAAAACATTCTGCATTGTACTTTAGTAGCATTTCTGGAAGGTCCTTCCCTTATACCGTAACTATGATTACCATTAATCACCACAGCACTCCTGCTATGAGACTAGTTTTTAGAATTGGAATGCTTTAGATATTGTAGTCATGAACAATAAGGAAATTTCACTAAATCCCAAGAGACTTCTGGCAGATATTGCCCAAAGCAATTTCTTAAATTGTTTCTTTCCTTGCAGTAGATGGAACAAGTGTCTAGTAGTTCCAGCGTCACAATGACCATTAGTCACTGTTTAATTATACAAGCAGCCTTGGTGAATGAGCACCACGAGGCATTTATCTGCACTTCACACACACACTAGCTGTTTCTGCCTACTCATCAACAGGGCTGAATTCCAGAGCCACAGTTACAGGAAGCCTAAGATACCCAGTTCTCCTATCAATATACATCTGTGCCCATACAGAGCTATACCCTTCATAAATTCATTCAGATTCTGGGCTTGTGTTAGCATCAAAGAACAAGAAACCCCTACAAATCACTGTATGAATTCTTGCAGAGGTACTTCAGAACGCATTATTTTTAGTGGTTTATCGTGAGTAGATCACAAAGGTGCATGCTGTAAATATGTATGTATCAGTATACAATGCAGAAAAACCTTCACTACTGTAAAACCCCATTCCTGTAAAAGGAAATTAGTTTAGTTGACTAGGACAAAAGCATTCGAATCCTCAATAATTATGCGCTTCCTACTTCTGCTGTAAGCCTACCCTACTGACCTGCTCTAGGAGTTCAGAGGTTGCATTAAAAATGCTGGCTGGTTCCCAGAGCAAGTGCTTCATGTTGCTTACCAGTTTGGTAAATTAAGGAAGAGAACTGATTACTTCTGTGATATTATATATACAATCAGTAGTTACACTTGTATTTTCAACAGGAAACAAAACCAAAAAAAGTTAGCTCACTTTCTTTTAAGACAGCAGCAGGAGAAGGTAAGAACAATTAAGACTGAGACAATAAAATGCCCTTTTATCAGGTTCTGGGACTATATGGGCCATGCTCTTTTGCTCATGGTAGATTTTACACCACAGACCATTCCTGCAGAGGGTGATATTTCTGTGGAAAGTTACACCCAAAGATAAGTAAGAGTAAAGCAGTTAGACTTGAGTTTGTATTGACCTTACATCTACAGAGGTATATAAAAAACATTTTGTGATAAACACACCCAGTAAACAACATTTCTGGGACAAATTTATGTAATCCGGGGGTAGAGAGAGGAAGGTGAATGAGGAACAGAAAATGCTGCCAGACAATTAAAGTCAGGAGACACAGTGAACAACCTCACTTTAAAAATGACTGATAATTTTTTTTTCTGTAATTGCTGTCAATGGGAATGAAATACCACATGCTTTCAGAATGAGCTTACAGTGATATTTCAGTTCAGTTTTCCAGAAACGGAAAGTACGCATGCTTCTGCTAACATCTATACCACAGCAGACAGCTAACACTGAAACAGCAGATAACTAGCACTGAAACAATCTTTTGTAGAACAGACAAGGACACGAAAAGTGCTCCATTAACTATTTTAAAATATTTCCACTGAAAGCAGCAGATAATCTGAGCTCTGTTTTTAGATGAAGGAAATTAAAATTATCTCAGAAGAAGTTCTAAAAGAAATCCTCAGGTTTTGAGTTTTAAATAAACCACATACAAGACAAAGCTAAGTAATAGGGGGTTGTTTCAACTTCACAGGTTTCACATGAAAAAAAGTAACATATAGTATGTCTGCTCCTGAAGATAGGAGGTAACACTAAGATAACAGTAATGGGGGGGGGGGGGGGG